TATGAACCAATATCTCTCTTATCAGTATGGAAAATATTATGGATTACTAATTATTTTTTGTGATCTGTTTTTGACTCTATAGCAAAAACACATCTCTCAAGAATAGCAGTTTACCACTGTTTACTGCTGCTGTTTGACATTTTCCTCCTGGGTTTATATTTAACAGTGTATGCATGTAGCAAATGGTGCTTGCAGTAGGCTTAATTCTGAGGCCTAAGTGAATGAGGGTGAGTGGAATTTAGCTAAGAACCTGTCCACACTATGTTTTATATAGAAGGGAGTAAAAAAAAACTGTATTGTTAAAATAACAGTGTAACTATGTACATGTTCTTTCAAAGTATTTCATAAAGTGATAGGAGCAGAGGTTTCTAAGTTTTTACAGTTCTTAGCTGGTAGCTATTCTTGTTATTGTTGTTGTTAGGTACCATCAAGTCAGCTGTGACTCATAGCCACACTATGTACAACAGAACGAAACACTGCCTTGTCATGCATCATCCTCACAATCTTTGCTATACTTCAGCCCATTGTTCCAGCAATTGTGTCAATCCACCTTGTTGAGGGTCTTCCCCTTTTTTGTTGACCCTCCACTTTACCAAGCATGAGATCCTCCAGTGAATGGTCCCTTCTGACAACATGACCAAAGTAGGTGAGACAAAGTCTGGCCACTTTCTCTTCCAAAGAGCATTCCGGCTGCACTTCTTCCAGGACAGAATTGTTCATTCTTCTGGCAGTCCATGGTATTTTCAGTATTCTTCACCAACACCATGATTCAAAGGCATCAACTCTTTGTCAGTCTTCTTTGTTCATTGTCCAGCTTTCATATGCGTATGAGGTGATTGAAAATACCATGGCTTGGATTAGGCACACCTTCGTCTTCAAGGTGACATCTTGGCTCTTCAATACTTTAAAGAGGTCTTTTGCAGCAGATTTTCCCAGTGCAATACGACATCTGATTTCTTAACTGTTGGTTCCATGAGTGTTGATTGTGGATCCAAGTAAAATGAAATCTTTGCAATTTTTTCTCCATTTATTGCAAAGCTGCTTATTGGTCCATTTGTGAGGATTTTTGTTTTCTTTATGTTGAGGAGTAATACATACTAAAGAGAGTAGTCTTTAATCTTTATCAATAAATACTTCAAGTCTTCTTTTTCAGCAAGCAAGGTTGTATCATCTGCATATCGCAGGTTGTTAATGAGTCTTCCTCCTACCCCGATTCCTTGTTCTTCTTCATATAGTCCAGCTTCTCGGATTATTTGCTCAGCATATAGATTGAATAAGTGTGGGAGAAGGAGACAACCTGGATACACACTTTTTCTGATTTTAAACCATGCAGTATCCCCTTGTTCTGTTTGAATGACAGCCTCATGGTCTATGTACAGGTTCCTCGTGAGCACAATTAAAGGTTCTGTAATTCCCATTCTTCACAATGTTATCCATAATTTGTTATGATCCACAGAGCCAAATGCCTTTGCATAGTCAATAGAACATAGGTCAACATCTCTCTGGTATTCTTTGCTTACAGCCAAGATCCATCTGACTTCATCAGTGATATTCCTTGTTCCATATCCCCTTCTGAATCCAGCCTGAATTTCTGGAAGTTCCCTGTCAATATA